GAGAGAGAGAGAGAGAGAGAGAGAGAGAGAGAGAGAGAGAGAGAGAGAGAGAGAGAGAGAGAGAGAGAGAAAGAAGCCACAACTGCTTATGAGTAGCGGAAGCGCATCGGAAAAAGCACCGATGTCGAGTCAGATCTCGGACTCAGAGCGGAGAGGAATAGGCTGACGGGTGTGCTAGGTATAAGTAGCAGAAAAATGGGAAGTCGAATAAGCAGGTGGCAGAGAGTCAGTCAGGAAGAGGTCCGTCGGTGGCATGCAGAAATTTGAATGTGCCGTGCTGAAATCCGGAAGCCCTGATTCTGGATACTGCGTGAAGGAAGGCCCTCGATACACGAAATCCCGGCCCGTTACCGAGGCCGTGCGGAAAACCGTAAGTCCTGATTTGGACACTGTGCAAAGGAAGGCCCCCGATGTACGAAATCCCGGCCCATCACCGGGGCTGACTCCGACTGGTTATCAGAAAGAACAGGGCCAGAACTTCCTCAGACCGCAATGAGACCCATATAAAATTGTCGCCGGGGTAACTTGGGAGGAAAAAGAACTGAACTGCTGCCAGGCTGTCTTCAAGTAGTCCCAAGGAGACCATGGTTGGGCCATCGTGGGTTCTGCCAAGGTCCGAGGCGACATCTGATTCCCGCCTCTGTTACTCAAAGAGTCTAGGCGCGTGTGCGCGGTGCGGCGCGTGTGTGTGGTTCGGCGTGTGTGCGCGGTGCAGCGCATGTCGATGCGCCGCATATATGGTATTAACTCACTATTAAGCATTTCCCTCTTATGGTGTTGCCTCGCTGGCATAGGGAAGCAGGGTATTATGATTCATGGCAATACATCTTTTATTCCTTTTCCTAAGTATAATTTTGAAACTGAGGCCAGGGACCTCACAGTTGAAATGGGTCAAACTATGGGCCTATGCATTGGATCTCCTAGAAGCAAGGTGGGCAGATTACTGCCTGAAGGCCTCCTGAACGTTAAAACAGTGGGTAGTGAGGAGGACGGCCTGTACATGTACAAGATGGCGACCCCAGTATGTGCCCTGCCCTTTGACCTGGAGCAGTGGGAATGGAAAGCAGTCAAGCCCCTCCAGATTTGTGAATACTCAGTAAAAGAAGGGCAGAAGCACTGCCAAAAAATCCAACCGTCCAAACCGGTGATAATAAAGAGATGGGCTAGGGACTCTCCTCTTGTAGAGGAGGGTCAGTCAGGGATGTCATGGTCACACTATTCACATATCATGCTGACTTCACCCATGCCCTCCAGTGGCAGATCCTGCACCGCTGACTACCCACGCCAAATTGGCTGGTCTCTTGATCAAAGCCAGTGCACAACGGATGGTTATCACCGATCTGCTCTTACTGCGCCCGCTCGTCCCAACCAAGAATAGCCACACTGGAACACTGACTCCTGGAATGCCCCATGATCCTTCAAATATGGAGATGGTGGGATGCGGCGTGGCATTACCTGACTGGTGAACCTTTCCCCTAGCACATACGGCAAGACAGGTAGAAGTGCATGCACTTACCATCACTCCTATCTGTTCTCGCAGGTGGTATATTTAAAATAATAAAAAAACAAACAAACAAAAAAAAAACGACTTACCCTATTGGGGAGACCCATGGATCTTCCACCGCAATGGACTGCATTCCAGCACCACCTCTTCAAAAGAACCGGATTGGCTACCCTCACGGTAATAATATGGAGAGTGTGGTGAGAGGAAAGAACATAGTTTTGGATTTATCGAAAACTAGCGGTGGAAGGGATCAGAGTCAATCAGAGCAAACATTGTAGAGCAAGGAAGAGGCCAGTGCAAGATCTAGCGAGAATTGGGGACCAAAGGGAAAGGGAGAGAGTAATAAATGAATTCAAAGGACCTGTGGATTGACACTTGGTGCAAAATGTGTGAGACCAATGCAGGAGGCAGACTAACATGGGAGGACTGGAAGGTCCATAGAAACCAATGGCCCCTAAGACCATCTGACTGCTTCTTTACCCCATTGCTAGGAGATAACTTCAAAGCATTGACTATACTCTCAGCAGGTAGTTCAAAGCAGTAGGACAAAGAGGAAGGAAACAAACATGTGTAAGGGACACTGGGCCCGGTTCCCAGCATGCAGCTCCCCACGAATAAGAGTGGAGCCATCGCATGGCCGGCCCTTCATCAGGCTTGGGTTCTTACCCCTCGCCTGATAAGGGACCGCCCTCTTAGACATTTAAAAACAAAAAAAACAAAAAACAAAAAAAGTTATTTTTACTATTTTGCCATGGTGATCTTCATCTGTACAACCCCCCCCCCTCCCCTCCCCCCCCTCTTTTTCATATGTCTGCATCTGGAGTTGATTTACTAACGTAGTTCTGTGGAGTTTGGTCAAAATTGTTGTGCAGGCCATGGCAGGGTTAGCGATCCTCTCCCCATCCCTGGAGAATCTGGTTCACAGCATCGCACTCGGTCAGGTAAGGAACAGAACCTTGAGTCCTTGACCTTGGTGAGTGAGGCCAATCTAAGGGAAGAAGGACTGAACCAGCCTGGTTGGCTTGCTTTTTTGGAAATTCATCAGAATGATATCATCAGCCAAATTTCTTGCGGGGGAAGTTTATGATTTCACTCAAGCTGGGTGTTGGTGATGGAAATATGGTTTTCTCAGGATTGTCCTGGGGGGACTGTCTCATATGGAGAGGGTTGGGATAGAGGGATTGGGGGAACCACCGTTTTGCAGGGACATGCTTTTGGCAGGAACTGTATGTCCTTGAGGGAGCGGGGGTCCATTAGGGGGCTTGTCCTGAGTTGGGGTCAATGAGGAGAAGGGGACTCCTGTCGAAGGGGGCAGCTCAAGGACAGGAAGAGGGGTCTTTTGGTAAGAAGGGGGCAATTCTGTTTCTCTTTACGGCAGGGAGGTGCTGTATCGCTTTTCCCGTCTGTGCCGTGAAGGGGGTGGGACACGGGGAGTATGGGAACGCGCTGAGAAAGCCTAGAGCTGAGGTTGAGTGACTCTGGGGGTTCAGCAGTTCTTTCGATGCTCGGCTGATGTTGTCGAGTCTTTAGCTGATAGATGGCTGATGACAGAACGACGTCGGGGCAGCACCAGGTTCTGGTCACGTGGAGCCATCAAGCGCACTGGAGGAAGTAAAGGGAAAGGAAGCTGGTGAATTCATGGTACACAGACAATAGACAGTCAAGTGCACCAGAGTGGGCTCCCCAGTGCAATACAGGTTTCAAGCCGGGCCGTTACGCCATAGACAACAAAGACAACACAAACACTGCGGTCACGGTGGGTCGAGAGTATGTACAGTACTGAATACACCTACAGTCACAAGAATAGAGGATAGAGGTGGTCCTAATAATGCCTCACAACCTGTGAGGTTATGTGAAACGATGTGCCATAAATATGCCATAAATGTGCCATAAATGTGGCTGGGAAGGTCAAATTTTCTGGAAGATGAAGGCTTAGGGTTTAAGGGTTTAAGGGCTTAAGGGCTTAAGGGTTTAAGGGTTTAAGGGTTTAAGGGTTTAAGGGTTAAGAGCGCAAGGCAGGTCGCAGTCACACCGGGATGGAGGGAGTGAATAGGGTGGGTGGAAGCCACCCCACCCAGATCACACTAGATCACACCAGTGAACACCAGGATGAGCTTTAGAAGGTAATAAACACCACGGGTATTTGGGAGGGAGGGAACACGGAGTGGTGGAATGCCACCCCACATCTGCTTTACACTAACACAATACACTTCACACTGGTACAGCACTGCACATGACTACAGAATACAGAATACAGCCCGGGTAATATGAGGAAACGTGGGCACTAGGTTTTAAGGACTTATCACAACACATCACAATAAGATCACAACAGATCACAACAGACAACAGATCACAACAGATCACAACAGACAACAGATCACAACAGATCACAACAGATCACAACAGATCACAACAGATCACAACAGATCACAACAGACACAACAGACACAACAACATGATGCAATTAACAGATAGATAGTAATCGACAGTAATGGTTACAACAACAACAACATTATTATATTTGATAACTCGTAGGAAAAATAGGCTGGGCTTCTTACCACCTGGCCCTTGAATGGATACTGACATAGCATGGTCACATACATTGTTTACATTGTACTTCACAGGGACGCTGGACCCAATTTCCAGCAGGCGCTGCTCCCCGCCAATAGATGGAGCCCCCCGACAGTGATAGTGGTGCCTGCTCTTATCAGCACCCCTAGCACCCGCTCGGGCAGTTTCTCTTTAAAAAAAAAAAAAAAAAAAAAAAAAAAAAAAGACAGAACAACGCCGGCCGGCGCCGGAGTTGGTTATGCTGCCCTGTAAGAAAGCATTCCAGTGGCCAGTGTGAGCTACCATCAGGGCAACGAAGGCTGGAGCTGTGGCGGGTCGTGTCGCCCTGTAACTAAGCATGGGGGGCGTGAGAGTGAGTAGAGTGCTGGCATGAGGACATGAGTGAGTGTGAAGGTAGTTTCAATTGGACTGTTGAACAGTGCTTGGGCAGCTTGTTTTTGGTTCGTAGACTAGTTTCAGTGTCTTTTCCGGCTTAAGGGTGTCGTAATGAGTACCCTTTAAAAAAATAAAAAAAAAAGGGTTTGGGCCGTCTGAATACTTCAACAGTTGTTCCTTAGCTTCGGTTCATTAGCCGAAGCTGGGTAATGGCACTGGTATCCCGATCCGTTCTGCATAAATTTCCTAATGGGACACTAGGCCCGGCTCCCAGCACGTGCTGCTCCCCGCAAATAGATTGGAGCTTGTTTCATTGAAAAAAAAAACAAAAAAAAAACTGGTAGGTTTTGTAACTTTGTTCTTCAAATCCCCAGACTATTAGTGTTTTCAACTTTTCACCCAAATAAACTGCACGGTCAGTATCGCTGCATCTAGACTGAAAGTTGCCCCAATTACAGCTGTAATCACCGAGCTTTCCATTCGGAGGGTTGAGAGGAGGCGGTAGCCCCCGGCGGAATGTACCCCCTTCCACTTCCTAAGGTGGGGAATAAAATCCGACTAACACTTTGAGAGTACTGAACCACCCAGGGTGGTCTTGCCTTGACACCACCGCAATAGCCCTGCCACGATATACCTCATCGTGCAAATGGCCAACCTCGGACAACTGCACACCATGCAGGTAGATTTTGGCTAGGGCAGGCCCCTCAAATGTGAAATGAAACTGGGCTGGCGTAGTCTCTGTTATAAATATATTCTTAGTATTTTCTTACATTATCAGTCCCCCCACCTCGGCAGAGACTGAAGAAGCGCAAGGGATCACATGGATGAACCCCCCGGGACTCCATCCGCTTCCTGGGCATTGCAGTGCACATGCAAGGTACTAGTGACTCATTAGCAACTAACCTCCTAGCAGCAGTAATGAATAAATATTATAGTATGGCAGAAAATGTGCACATCGCTAATAGGAAGCGTCCGAAGAGCTATGGTAATAAACTTGTCAATTTTCTCAATGGTATGGTATGCTGTGTCAATCTGGGACCCCCCAAAGCCTTTCACAAAGAATCACAGGAAGAAAACACAGCTTACCTGTGGACAGGAGACGCCTCCATAACAAAGGTGGGATGGAGATATGCAGGATTGCGGAGCGGTGGGTGTGGCTGTCCATCATCATCGTCGATGAAAGGTGCGAGTAGATCAGCGTTTGCTGGCGGTGGGAGATGTCATCTTCTTTGCAGGGTCACCATCACCGCTTTCACCGAAGAGCGCAGGGTTGGTTGCTGGTGTAGTAGGCTGGTGTTGGGCATCCGAAGCCATCTCTTCGAGGTTCGTTCCCAATCAAGTTTCGCAAGGTCGCAACATCAGAGGAAGCAGTATCATAGTTTTCTGAGAGGGCTATGTGGACGAATCAGCAACAACGGTAGGACAACAGCATCAGGCATCTTCAAGGGTAATCATCATCATCATCATCATCATCAGCAGCAGCAGCAGCAGCAGCAGCAGCAGCAGCAATGTGTCAACGACGGGCGTGAGTAATGGAGGTTTGGAGGGGGGGTGACAAAATGGGTTGGAAAACAACTTAGAATAGACACCTCCCACTTTCTTTCTCACCCCTCTTTCACCTAATTTGTTCTTGGAATCCGTCCCTCCTCCCTCATACCCTCCAGCTTCATCTCTTTTTCCTCCTCATCATTATCCCTCTTCTTCTTCTCTGACTTTTTTCTCTCTTCAGTCTTCGTCTCTCCTTTCCTTTGCTCTGCTCTGCTCTGCTCCGCTTTGCTTTTTTTGGGGAAACAATGGGGAGAGGTGGGGAAACGAGGGGGGGTAGTGGGCAAGGATGTGGGAGGGGGTGGGAGACGTAGAAGGAAAGGGGGAAGGAGGGAGTGAGGGGAAGAGGTTGTGGGGGAGGGACATGGGTCTACAGGTTTCCTGGGAGAAAGGGACGGAGGGAGGGGGGGAGTAGATCTTTTTTTTTTCTTTTTTTTCTTTTTTTTTTTCTTTTTTTTCCTTTTGAGGGGAGTAGCTCACGTTTTTCTTGATTGATCTCTCTGGTCTGTTTTCCTTTCCATTCGTTAGGAATTCCAATTCTAAAGTCTCTTTATTCTTACTTATTATTATTATTATTATTATTATTATTATTATTACTATTATTTTTAAGAAAAACAGGGCCTTATGGTCCTGGCTCCTTCTATTCTGGGGAGCGTCAGTCCGGTTCCTATTCCACCGCCAAGTCAGAGTATACATTAATTTGACAATCACACACGCTTCCTTCCGTTTGGCCGAAGGACCCCTGAACAGCATTGACTGCTCCACCTTGGCGGAGGATTGACTGTCAGCTTGCCATGTCCCTCTCGTCCCTCTCAGATCTGGGGGCCAGATCTGCCAAATAGTGCAATGCCACCCAGAAAGAGTTCATCCTTTGTCCCTGCTGGCCTGTATTCAGAAGGAAGTAGAATACTGAGCAATGGAGGATGGAGGAGGTCCGGAGGACAGAAGAAGAAGAAGAAGGAGAAGAAGAGTCCCCCCCTTCTCTCTCTCTCTCTGCTGATACCAGATACTGACCACGCAAAGGTGTTGTCTTGACCCCGGTACTGCAGCGCTGAAGACGAAGCTGGAGCTATGGCGCCCCTAGGTGAGTCAACAGGTAAGTCCCAGTGTCTGGCCTCCGCCTCTCTCCTGCTGCAGTCTCCACTGCAGCCACCACGCTCACCACCTCTGGCCTACCGCTACTGCACCCAACGCTGAGGACTAACACAGCATAACGCTGAATGGTAGCTCACACTAACCCCCCTAGTGAGAGGCAGATCAGTCTATAAATACTACTGGTCTGGCCTCTCTTGGGTCCTACTGGCCTAAATGGGAGGCCCAGAATGAATGGCCTGAAAATCAATCAGGCCGTTCACTTGGATCGAATCTGATGGTCCAATTGTGGCCTGGGAAAAAAGGAGGCCAGGGCCTGAGCCGTTACTAGTACCAGGGCCTGGCCCGGCCGAACCTG